CTCCTGCCTCAGCCTCCTCAGTAGCTGGGATTACAGGCACGCACCACCATGCCCAGCTAATGTTTTGTATTTTTAGTAGAGACGGGGTTTCACCATGTTGATCAGGATGGTCTCGATCTCTTGACCTTGTGATCCACCCGCCTCGGCCTCCCAAAGTGCTGGGATTACAGGCTTGAGCCACCATGCCCGGCCTCATTTTTGTATTTTTTGTAGACAGGTTGGGTGTTGCCCAAGCTGGTCCTTAACTCCTGGCCTCATGTGATCCTCCCACCTCGGCCTTCAAAAGTGCTGGCATCACAGGCATGAGCCACCATGCCCCACCTAAGTTCATGCTTTTACTGGGAAAATAAATGTCCTTTTTGCAACTCTGAAACTTGAAGTCAGAAACCTACAGCATAATTACCTGAATAAGAAAGACCGTGTCCATAGTGTGGAGGTGTCCAAAGTCATCAATGTAAGTCTCCTGGTATAGGTCTGACATCACTACCAAGTGGACCAGAAAAGCGGTGCTCACAATGGCAACAGTGGCAGCCGAGGCCGTCAAGGTCAGGAGGTAGATGAGGAAGTACCTGATATTCCAGGCTCCGATGCAGTTGTTCACCCAAACACAGTGATGGTCAAAACGGTGCACACACCAGTTACACACACCTGCACAGAAATGAGGGGAAAAGTGCTGGGATGGTGCCTGATGAGACAAGGAAACCGCACACCTGCTGAGATTTTCACAATCTGACCACTGGATGTATGATCGGGGGAAATGGCAGCTGCTTAGTTCCAAACTAAGCTTTTGGAACTGCAGTGTCCAGTACAGGAGCCACCAGCCAAATGTGGGTATTGAGCACTTGCAATCTGACTACAAAAAACATCTGAGGTAGTGGTAGCATACACTCGTGGTCCCAGCTATGTAGAGGCTAGGCAGGAGGATCGCTTGGGCACGGGAGATCAAGGCTGCAGTGAACTATAATCGCACCACTGCACTCTAGCCTGGGTAACAGAGTGACACCCTATCTCAAAAAAAAAAAAAAAAACAGAAAATGGAAAGGACATTTTGTCAGTTGACAAATTTACAGTTGTTTTTTACTATAATACTCCTTTGAATTCAGTGTGAACATGGAGGCAACACAAAGTTAGTGAATTTACTTCACTTGGACAGACATAATTTTAAAGCTGATGTTTCTGCTTTAAAGTCAATTCTTCTGATTAAGATGAAGCATTATGTCAATGTAGACATGGACAGTAAAGGACAATGATTCTTGTGTTACCAAATTCAGATATTGGAAAACTTTTAAGAATTTCTGGATGTAGGTTGCATATGTGGGTCTACCTTTTCAACTACACATTTTATTAAATCTAAATACACATTTTATTAAATCTAAATTCTAAAACGAAAATTTGGTGTCCAAATCAAGATATGTTGTAAATATAAAATACATACCAAATTTTAAAGGCTTAGTATGGAAAGCAGAATATAAACAATCTCATGAAGAATTTTTTACGCCGGGCGCGGTGGCTCACGCCTGTAATCCCAGCACTTTGGGAGGCCGAGGCGGGTGGATCACGAGGTCAAGAGATCGAGACCATCCTAGTCAACATGGTGAAACCCCATCTCTACTAAAAATACAAAAAATTAGCTGGGCATGGTGGCGCGTGCCTGTAATCCCAGCTACTGAGGAGGCTGAGGCAGGGGAATTGCCTGAACCCAGGAGGCGGAGGTGGTTGCGGTGAGCCGAGATCGCGCCATTGCACTCCAGCCTGGGTAACAAGAGTGAAACTCCATCTCAAAAAAAAAAAAAAAAAAGAATTTTTCACACTGATTACATGTTAAAATGGTATTTTACATATGTTAGGTTAAATAAAACCCTGATTAAAACTGTCTCCAAGCACAGCTACATTTTGAAAAATATTTTTTTTGTTTTTATGCCCACAGAAAAGAGAAAAAAATAAATAAATAAAAGAAAAATATTTTTAAAAATTGTTTCTTTTCATGGCTTTTTTTTTTGAGACAGAGTCTCGCTCTGTTGCTGAGGCTGGAGTGCGGCAGTTAAATCATAGCTTACTGCAGCCTCGATCTCCTGGGCTCAAGCAATCCTCCCGCCTCAGCCTCTCAAGTAGCTAGGACTATAGACACATGCCACCATGCCCACTAACTTTTGTATTTTTTGTAAAGGTGGGGTTTCCCCAAGCTGTCAGGCTGGTTTTGAACTCCTAGGCTCAAGAGATCAGCCTGCCTCCCAAAGTACTGGGATTCCAGGCATGAGCCGCTGTGCCCTGTCATATTCTATTTTTGTTAGACAGCACTGGTCTAGAATTTTGTGCCCTCCCAGAAGACTAGGCTTTGCAGGATTGAAATCTGCAAACACAACATCCCATAGAAACATCTTGTGGGCAGCACGTCCTGCCCTATGGTAAGGGAAGGGCTGTTATGCCCAGGGATGAGAACTGTCTACTACACAAGAACACAAACCCTGACCCTCATTCATCTGAAAGAAACCATTATCTCAACTCTATAAGTAGTGGCTACACCATGTCTGGGGGTGAACTATAGATTCAGGAAACATTCCTTCACAGACAAAGCCTACACATGTGCTGTTGGGGGTGCTGCTGGAGCCAAGAGAGCCACACTCACTGCAGTGCTTGGATCGAGCTGGTTTCCTTAAATCACAAGTAGAGCACCTCACGTTCTTCGGGAACATCACTTCATCAAATTCATAAACATGAAGAAATAATAACTCATTTGCTTTTGTTATAATGCCTGGAAAAAGTAAGGACATATGTCAGTTTCATGTAATATGGTGCAGCAGATGGTCACAAAACCCATCCTGATAAAACACAATTGAAATCTTTAATATCTTTTTTTGAGATGGAGTTTCACTCTTGTTGCCCAAACTAGAGTGCAATGGCGCAATCTCGGCTCACTGCAACCTCCACCTCCTGGGTTCAAGCAATTCTTCTGCCTCAGCCTCCCAAGTAGCTGGGATTACAGGCACGCACCACCATGCTCAGCCAATTTTTTGTATTTTTAGTAGAAACAGGGTTTCACCATGTTGGCCAGGCTGGTCTCAAACTCCTAACCTCAGGTGATCCACCCACCTTGGCCTCCCAAAATGCTGGGATTACATGTGTGAGCCACTGTGCCCAGCCACTATCTTTAATATCTTAAGCAATTACTTATTTTTTTTTTTTCTGGACACAGAGTCTCACTTTGTTGCCCAGGCTGAAGTGCAGTGGAATAATCTCGGCTCACTGCAACCTCCATCTCCTGGGTTCAAGCAATTCTCTCAGAGTAGTAGCTAGGATTACAGGTGTGTGTTACCACACCTGGCTAATTTTTGTATTTTTAAATTTTTTTAGTAGAGATGGGGTTTTACCATGTTGGCCAGGCTGGTCTCAAACTCCCAACCTCAGGTGAACCTCCCACCTCAGCCTCCCAAAGTGCTGGGATTACAAGTGTGAGCCACCGCACCCAGCCAAGCAATTCATTTTGAGTAATGGCTTTACTGAGACATAACTCATTAACCTAATTCACCTATTTAAAGTGTAGAATTCAGCACAATCATATGCGAAGTGTACAAGGCCACTCCTTGTTTTCAGCACTATTAGTAAGACAGTGGAGCTGTCGCCCTGCCTGAACTTACCAGGATTGGTTACACAAGTGAGAGTGAATGAAAACACGTTTATAATTAGCAGCAGATAGGGCAGAAGGAGGTAATACAAGGAGAACTCTAGCTCTTGACAGTAGCCAAATACTTCCCAGGTGTATTCAGTATAAACCATCCCTTGCAGGACCAGGTGCAGGACAATGAAGGTGTGGTTTCTGAAAGGAAACAGGCATATGGCTTGTTCATGGGGGATTCTACTTGAAGAAATCATAAAATACTAAATAAAGTAACTAAGGGCCAACCACTTCCTTTGGGCTTGAGATAATAGTAAGAATTACACAGAAAACCATGTGAGGCCGGGCACGGTGGCTCACACCTTGGGAGCACTTTGGGAGGCCAAGGCAGGCAGATCACGAGGTCAAGAGATTAAGATCATCCTCTGGCCAACATGGTGAAACTCCATCTCTACTAAAAATACAAAAATTTAGCTGGGCCTTGTGGCATGCACCTGTAGTCCCAGCTACTCAGGAAGCTGAGGCAGGAGAATCACTTGAACCCAAGAGGCAGAGGTTGCAGTGAGCCAAGATCACACCACTGCATTCCAGCCTGGGCAACAGAGTGAGACTCTGTCTCAAAAAACAGAAAACCATGTGAAACATTCTGCATGTATTTAACAGAAACACATGTCGGTATTTTCCCAATCTTTAAATATCACTATTTAAAAGCAGACAAGTTAAAACCACAGTCTCAAAACTCTCAGTCTCAAAAGTAGAGGTTCCCAACTCAGGACTCATTATTCTTTCCGGCATTCTTTCTCTCAGCATGCTGGAAACCACAAGGAGCTTCCTGAAGCTAGAGGATCACAACAATTAATAAAGCAGAAAAGAGGAGGATATTTAAACTCTGAAATATAAATACCTCGTATGGAAAAGGTAATGAAGCAATCTGTGCATGGCTCTCTGAAGACATTCTGGAATTATACAGGAAAATATCTGAAAAGCAAAGAGAAAGACTCAATTTCATTTCTCATTTCTTCTCCCAAACGAATCAGACACTCCACATACAGCTGGCAATAGGGGTGATGGCAAGTTGTTTCCGTATATGAGTAAAGAAGTGGTTCAGATGCTCTTTCCCCAGCCTGGGTTCAATCCCAGGTTCCAGTGTCCACACCCAGATCACTGGGCATTAGCCCAGGTCCCTCCCAAGTCCACACCTTTCCATGGGTTGCTTGCCCCAGTTTTGCTCACTTTGATCCCTGAAGGAGGGGGCCAGCCGATGCTGAGCTTTCTGCTCATACATCCCCCAGAGTCACCCATCAAGCCCCCCAGGTGGACACTGCTCACATCCATGCCCAATCACAAGCATTTAATCCAGAGGAAATCAGTCCAAGCAACCTCTTCTCTCAAAGCACCACCACAAGAGGACTTTCAGGCCGGGCGCGGTGGCTCAAGCCTGTAATCCCAGCACTTTGGGAGGCCGAGGCAGGTGGATCACAAGGTCAAGAGATTGAAACCATCCTGGTCAACACGGTGAAACCCCGTCTCTACTAAAAATACAAAAAATTAGCTGGGCATGGTGG